TGATCAACAGGACTAGACCGAGATCGATCGATACCACCCCTTCCCCTGTGCACCACACCCAAAACCTCAACACAATGTCGATGAGTACTGATCTAGCACCTACAGCAACACTGGACGACATGACTGCAGTTTAGCAAGCATTGAGAAGTGGCTACAGAGAATCCACTATGAGGTCCATGGTTTGCAAGCTAGTATGACCATGAGCGAGAAAGCCACAAAAAGTTTTTAACTTCATGGTTTGAAGAATCATAAGACAAGGAGGATACTTGTTTCCCAACAAGTACCTGCAACCCACGTCACTAGCCACCATAACTCCATTGTGGCTACATCACCTACTTGTGTTGGAGACTCAGTAAGTAAGGTTTTGGGTAAGCCATGCTCCTTCTATAATTTGTTCCCGTTCCTTTCATGGTGTCTACTGACATCTCCTTCTCTTGTTATTAGTTTATTACATTTGTTTCTTCCCAAACTTTGTCTATGTTTCAGCGTTAAAAAAAAAACTAAGCGCTGAGTGGGAGGCAACCCACTGTTAGGTATTTTCTTATTTAGTTTTATTTTATTTTTACTTATTACTTTTGTTTTTATTTGTTTTTAGGAACATAGCTACACGATCACTACCTCTATCGACCGATGAGACCCTCTCTACATCGCCCGACATAACCCTATCCATGACGATCGATGGAAGTGACTCACCATCGATCGATACGAACATCGGTCAGGTATATCGTTCACAATTTCGATATCAGTTATACATTTATTATTTCTTATGTTCTAACTCCGACTAGTTATTTACTGAGGACAGTGTATGATTTAAGTCTGGGGGGAGTGAATTACTGATGCTACTTTACCTTTTTGATTTCTTTAAAAAGTTTTCAAAATTTTGTTTTATTGAGTCAAGAAAGGGACAAAAACATTTCAAAAGAAAATTATTTTGCTTTTTATCTTACTACTCTTTAGCACCATTATTAGAATTGTTGATTTCAGAAAGTACTATAGATGCTAAAGTGGATCACCGATCATCCTATGACAACACTTTTCATGATTGTTTGGAAGAACCAAAGCTGATTTCCAACCTAACCTGACATCTATTGCTTGTCTTGGGGCTTGGTATACAAGGGATCGGAATCCTCATGCAAGTCTGGCAGGTAAAAGTCTCAACAATTTTGGTTTATTTCTCTCCTTCCTTTGGCATCCCGTAATGAGAAAAATAAAAGATTGAGATGATTTCCTGAGAGGCAGAGGGAGAGGTACATTTCCCATGACCCCATTATTCTAATTCAAAGGATTGATCACACATTTTGGAAGCGAGGGAGAGGTAAATTACCTATGACCCCACTATTCGCCTACACTTTGTCAGAAAAGACTACAAAAAATAGAAAAATCAATAAGATGAACATTAGTTGTTCATTGGAATTGATATAAAAGAAAAGAAAGTTTGGGATTCAGAGAAGGGAGATACAAAAAGGAACCAGAATGATAATGCCTGAAACTTGTTTGAGTTGAATCCAAGTGTTCTTTGATCGATACTCCCAAGGTAAAGCCTACACCTTTATTTTATGCATAAATGAAATCAGTAGAGGGGATAGACAGACCGGATTGTTTAAGTTGATTGGCTAGATGAATTTGGTTGCTAAGCTAGGATATGGTATAATGTACTTCTGTAGTTAGTAATATGAGATGTGGCTTGCAACAAAGTAGAGGTGATGATTTTAAAGTCAAAGATTTTATTGAGTCCCTGCTGTTTTTAAACTTCTTCCAAAGACTAACTAATGGTTTGCTTGAGGACAAGCAAAAGGTTAAGTCTGGTGGAGTTGATATACCATGATTTTGACCCACTTTTAGCCATGGTATTGATATGTTTTTATAATAAATATATATGTTTTGAAGTCTATTAGGTATGTTTTCAGGTTCAGGAGCATTTTGGAGTAAAGTGATGATTTAGGTGCCCTTATGGAGCTTAAAGGAGAGTTTTCCGAGATGACTATGAAGATCGGACAACAAGGATACATATTGATCGATACACACCCTGTGTAATTGATCGATGACGCTTTCATAGAAGATGAAGTCAAGATACTCTATTGATCGATGTACACCATGTACCATCGGTCGATATCAAGCGTGGAGAACAAGTCTAACTTGGCCGACGTGAAGCCCAAGTTTTCCTAATATTACAAGATTGCCCCTGACGAGTTTTTAACCTAATTGAACTCATATTTATATTTATGCCTATGTGTTTTGGCAAAGAAATGTTTTTAATTTTTCTTGTGCTTTGTTTGCTTTTGATACTATTTTATACTTAGCAATAAAGTATTCTTTTCATCTCAATTCTCAAAGGTTATATAAATCTAGATTTAAAAGAAACACACAAAGAGATTTGTTGTTCCAAAGAACCAAGAGTTCAATCTTCTAATCTTATGAATTTCTATTATTACCTTGCTGTTATGAATCTCTTAGCCATGTCTGAGTAGATTCCTTTGTTAGATTTAGGGTTCAAATAGTTATGAGGGATTAGCCCCAACTATGGAATGTTGAGTTGTGATATTCATTATCCAAATGAACCCTAATGCTTACTCTAGAGTAGCTAACTGAAGTATGATCATGAAGTAATTTAACTTGTTAATCATTATCCTGAAATCATTTGGCATAAGCTTAGATCCTCTAGGGATGCGCGAGAGACGGTCTATGATCTTGGTGAACACAATTTCGATTTGATCTTATGTTATATCGATCGATACTCCTATAAATTCATCGATTGACGGCAACGCATATCATTCGATATCGCTGTCAAAACATCGGTCGATATTGCCGGCAATAAGATCAATGGATGAGTCTATTTAGCGACTGCTATTGGATCTGTCTAAGAATCAAAGTTCTTATATATCTTGCAAGCAACTTACTAAAACATCTGTAGCATTATAATCCTGATTATCTGAATAGCAACCTTGAATCTAACTACTTTCTTTTATTGTTTTAAACCTAAACATATTCTCTTGAGCAACTTACCATTGCTCACAACTGCAATTTACTATTTTAAAGTGAATCAACCTAGCATAATCACTTAGGATTACATCTTTTCTGTTTCTCAGTTCCCTGTGGATTCGATCCCTAAGTACTACAGCTGAACCTCTTATTTGAGAGAGTAATTCACTCCTTAGGGTTAAACATTTGAGTGATATCAACAAGCGTTAAATGTGAGTTAACAAACTCTCACTATGGATCCCCTAGATCAAGCGATTGCTTTCACAGGTTCTTCAGTAGAGCTGAAGTTAACCATCTTAAGCAGTGTTGTTAAAGCCCCAAACTGAAGTGCCAAATTAAATAAAAGAAACATGATTTATTTCAGATAGCTTCTACACGGTTTTGCTCTGCAAGTTTAACAGAGAGAACATACCTGCAGCTTGAATGAAAGGATTGTTTTGGCTGCCCTTCCCGTGCATCCACGCAGCTAGCTTTCCTTTTTTTTGTCTGGGTAATTATGCTATTACAAATTATGAGAAATATTACCTAAAAGATATTACAGCCGACAATTCTACATGCCTTATGTGGATCTAAGTCTGACAGCATCACCCTGAGCCGTCCTATGAGATCCATTCCTGACGGTACTCCTTTTGCCATGCTAAAGATCTCTTGTAAGTCTTTTCTCTAATTTTCTGCATAATTCGCCTTCTCCAAGAATTGAAACCTAGAAATTGCATAGTCTGGAGTTCGAACCCCAAACCTAGGTGTAGAAACCTTTTAAACCTTGACCACTAGACCACGATGCTTCCACTAACTAGCTTTCCTTACAACTGAGTCAAAATGATTAAGCTCTCCGGCCCAACTTTAAGCCCTCCTCAAATCTGTACATACTAATGTATATGTAGTTAGGGAAGACTATGAGATGAGATATAAGCCCTACTATTCAAGATGAAATTTAGTAGACTTGTATTACTCCTTGCCATAAGACCGATTCACATCAGAGAAAACATGAAGATTGAGGGAATTGAGAGGAATAGTAGGACAAACCTTGATTCAGAGTCCCACAACACGCTTTGTCCTACATATGTAAATTTCTTAAAGTTCATGGGTTTCATTTTAATCCATTAGTGTTTGATCCCCAATATGTGTATCTTATTATCTTAGTTGCATCCAGTTCCAACAAATTTTCTATTTTAGTGAAGATTGCTAGAATCTTACGGACGACATTTAGTGTCTATTTGGGTTAGACTTTCACTTCGAGAGCTATTTAGACTATCTCCCAGTTACTTTATTTCACACTATCTCTTCTATTTCTTCAAATAAAATGTTACATATGACACTAGTTGGTAGTAAAGGTAATAGAGAATTGTTCTCCCATCCATCTCCAACTTCATCATCAGCATCAATCTCCCCCCCCCACCCCATGTTCAACGCATTGTCTCTCTTTGTATGAGTTAGCAACCCTCGTTGTAATCACACTTAGATCTGGGCATTTAGGGTATCAGTTCGGTTTACTTCGGGTATATCAGGTGGTCGGAAATGGGTCTAGAGGATCCAATAAGTATCTTATCTATTTTTGGTTCGGTTCAGTTCGGATAATGATTTAGTATCAGGAAATACCTGAATAACTCTGTTTCGATTTTAGTTCAGTTATTTGGATAAACTGTGAGGTATTTTAAGTAAAATATCAAGTAATTAGGATGGTTCAGATAATTCAAATTATTTTAGATATATAGGTTAAAAATATCCGGATATTTTTAAATAATTTTAGGTAGTTCATATATTTTTTTATAATAGTTTGTTTTTTTTTCAAATGCATTTTATTAAGCTTTTATATTATATATATTTGGTTATGTTATAAATCTATATAATTAATATTTTTATATATTCAGACACCATTTCAGTTTTCCATTCGATTTTAGTTCAAATATTTTGGATATAAAAAATATAAAGACCATTCGGGTATTTGAGAGTCTAGTTCCAGTTCAGATATTTTGCTTTGGTTTCCGTTTTTTTTTTTTTGCCCACGGCTAATCGCACTTGTAAACGATGAGGTTCTTATGAAGAAACAATGACATAAACACACATACATTATATGGAATCATACAAAAGAGTTAGCATAGCAACATATCAAGGAAGAATTACAAACTACGTTTTCACTAATATCACCTAATTAAATATACATATGATTACCATAATAAATTGAAAGCCATCTTTGTACACTTTCCATTATTTCTCTTCTCCGTTTTACATAAACACTGCCAATTCACAAGAGGCCAAGACTGTTAGTCAACAGAGAAACGATACTAATACATCAATCCACGAAGCAGCAAGACAAGAACCGTAAGTTCTTTAAGCGAAAACCAAAATGCAACAAAGCCTATGCAGAAGACATTGCAATAATGAAGTTGTAAGAGACATTTGATCATACCATTGGCGTATAAGTAAAGGAAAGTTTCAAGCACCAATTTGAGAGTGGAAAACATCGGTAATGGAAACAGTAGAGCAGAAAGTGACAAGTTTATGAAACTTGTTAACAGGAGAAGGCAAATGAGGCACAATTCTCCATCTACACTTGCCATTCTCCACACCAATCTCACAAAGACAAGCAGGATACTTCTTATGACCATCTTCATTAAAGACATATACAAGATTCCCAGAGCCAACACATTTCAAAGTCCTATACTTGTTACCACCATCTTCCTCATCCTCATTATCCACCAAACCACACAACAAACCCTCAGGCATTATCGCGATTTCACTAAACTCCATCGAACCTTCTTCGATTCTCCAGAGATTAAACGAGAATCCGCGATCCGAATTACACATCCCACCGAGAACAAGCGTATCGTTACATGAATTGAGGAAGGCGAAGAGGAGCCCGGGTGGTCTAAGTGTTTGGACATCGCTCCATGAGTAAGTATCCAAGCAAAAGGAGGAGATGAAGCATGAACTGATATCGAAGAAGTAGAATTTGCGTTTGTACAGAGCCGAGCTGAGGGTTTCGTGAGCGTTGGATCGGAAAGCCGCGGGAAGAGGAGGACAAAGCTCCCATGAATCGAGAGTGGAATCGTAGATTTGAACGGGCAAGCGATCGTCGATGTTGACTAATCCGCCGATGGATCCAACTCCGCCGACGAGGATGAGCTTGGAGGAGGTGGAGAAAACGGCGAGAAGGGGGTTGATTCTGGGGAAACGAAGAGGGGAGGTGAAACGCCAGTTAGGTTTGAAGATGGGAGAGAAGGAGAATCGAGGAGCGGTGGTGAAGAGGAAGCGGTCGGATCCGACGAGGTGGAGGGAAGGGAGAGAGGGGAAGGGGAGGCGGAGCCAGGAGTTGGAGAGAGGATCGAAGGCGAAGGATTGGTTGTGGAAGGAGGAGGTGTTGTGGATGCCGAAGAGGAAGAGCCATGGTGAAGAGGAGGAGGAAGGGGAAGGAGGGAGGGATGTGATGATTGAGCGCCATAGTTTTGAGACGGAGGAGAAACGGACGAGGGATGGGATTGGGAGGAGGGAGAGGATTGATTCTGTGACGTCAATGTTTAGGGCGTTGAAGTTTGACAATTCAGGATTGGTGTCTGACATTTTTGAAAAAGGTTTTGTTCTGGTTCTGTTGATTTCTCGAACAAGAAGAAAAAGGAAAGGGTGAGACTTTTAGGGGTGATGAGTGAAAAATGCAACGACGGAAAACGTGTGACGGGGAATTCCCCAGATTTTTGGAGTTATTTTTTATTATAATGGAATTTAATATTTAAGTAAGAATATACGGTGTATTATGTATTGAAAAAATTAACAGTTTTAAGTTATTTATAACATAATAAATCACTTTGTTCTACCAAGCTTTAAGTTATTTATAACATAATAAGTCACTTTGTTCTACCAAGACACTTTTTCTTAACCATTTAATCAATTTCGTGAGGTTTTCTAACTAGAGCATAATCATGGTGATTCCCATTCTCTCTTTTTTTTGTAATTAAAACATAAACATTTGCACACCATTTTTTTCTTTTTTCTTTACCATTAAAATAATCTAAATGACATTTTTCATGTAAAATCATTATCACATGAATCCTCCGGCGAGTTCGCGATATATTTTATTTTCTATAGATCTTTTTTCTGCGGTGCTTAAACTCGTTCCGCGAATAGATCTCCATGATAAGCGAGCGTTGACGTGACAGAGCAGCTGAAGGCTCCACTGTCGGCAACCTCAAACCACGAACTTGAGTCGAATAGAGCTCTACTGTAATCCACGCTAAGTAAAATCGTATTCTTTTCACCGTGGTCTTCATGCTCTGGACTAGAGTCGTGGCTGCCGGAATCGTCATCGCTTAAGTTGCAGACTGAAGAGAAAGCTTCATCGAACCAAAAAGGGTGAACTTTTCGTTATTTGCACATGTGGTACTCCAACTCTCGCTTATTCTCCCATTTGTCTCAAACTTCTAATTTTGTGCAAATTTATTCACGAATTTATTTCTAAACTTTTAATTATGCAATTTAGACCAAGAAAATTTTCTGATTTCGCAACATTGTCTCTGCCGTTTTGTTTCGCTTCACTTATATCCTAGATGTTTTTGATTTGCAAATCAATTCTTTTGATTGTCTCATATTTCCAATAATAGTTTCATATGTGGACAATGAAATATGTATACATTCTTACCTTGATATAACATCACTCATCTAGATCTACAAGTTTTAAGATGTGTACTCTGACTTAGAAGTGAGATAGCAGAAATATGTATACACATTACCATAATATCATACTATTTAATTAAAAAAATTTGCTAGTTTAAAAATATGTACAACCATATAATGTTCATGTGTACACACAAATTTTATTATCATGTACACGTATTTACCGATGTATAAACACCCACATGTAAGACCAATTTTGTTTCTGAGCAAGAATAACATACGACATGTGTGTACAAATTTACACTAACAGATGGAAATATGTGTACACATTACATACACAAATGTGTACACACAATTTAAATAACAAAATTTAGATACTTTTCCAAACTAGGATTGCTTTTTACGAAAACATCTCAATAAGTGTACACATAATTTTGTGTGTTAGCGGATTTTCTTTACATGAGAATAAGTATACACATGATTTTGTTTCTTATTCATATCTAATGATTTTTCTTTATATATATATTTAGGTACATATATTAACGTGTACACATAATTTATGTACATATGTTAACGTGTACACACAATTTAAATATTACATATGTAAACCTGTACACGATTTGGAATAGAACCAAATCAAAAAAAAAAATCTGCAAATCTGAAAAATTAGAACAAAAATGAAATAATAATTGCTTGGTCAAGATTGCACAGTAAAAAATCTCGAGGTAAATTTTTTTAAAAACTTGAACATATTAAAAGTTTGAGACAAATTAAAGAACAAGTAAGACACTACAAGAAAACTCGTCCATTACTAGGACGAGTTTTCCTCGTTATTTCCTAGTAAATGACCATTTACTAGGAACTTACGAGGAAACGCGTTTCATCGAAAAACGTTCATCGTAAAGCCTTTTTCCTCGTAAGATCCTAGCTAATTTACGAGGAAACTTTTCCTCGTAAACGTGTGGATAGCTTTTCCTCGTAAGGTCCTCGTAGTGTTTCCTCATAATGTCATAGTAAATGATTTCCTCATAAGCTCGTAGTAATACATTACGAGGAACTTACTAGAATAAGGACATTACTTCGAAACCTTTACGAGGATTTTGCTTCGAATCCTTTTTTTCCTATTAAAAAAAAATTAATTATAAATAAAAATAATATATTTTTAAAAAATTTAAAAAAAACAAATTATAAATAAAAATAAAATACATTATAAATAAATAAATAATATACAATTAAGTTTTAAAATTCATAATATAATTAAAATAAAATAAAAACTACGGATGGTGCTCATTAAATTTCCGAACGAAATCGTCCTGGCTCGCTAAATCCTCCTCTCCAAAGTTGGTTTCTAGCTGTGACTGTGATGGTGGAGGCTGTTGGGTTGGAAGCCCTCCGCTTTCCCGTCTTTGACGCAACATCTCCGCCAATTGCGGGTTTCCAACCGCCAAAATGTCGAGGACATCGGTGAGAGAACTCACATGCTCGGTGAGAGAACTCACATGAACTGCACCGCTTGCAACTCTGAGCGCAGCTGAGCATTGACATCGTGCTGTTCCTGAGCATACGACGATGTCGCTGTGGGGACATCGTTAACCGAGCCAATCCCGATGATACGCCCCTTTTTCCTAGGGGCGATCTGTGAATAAAAATATTAATAACATTAAGAAAAAATTTAAATAAATAAGAAAAATTAATAGTAAAACAAATTATTTACCTCCTCGTAAAACTTATCTACTTCAAGAGTGGATAATATGACTGGAGTCCCAGTCTGCAGAGTCAGCTGGGTCTGGCGTACGTCAACTCGGGCAACAACCTCGTTGTAGATCCGCTCGGAAGCAGGATCTACAAACTGCACAGCCTTGTTCCGGTGGGTTCTCTCGTAAAGGTCTTTTAGAGATGGAAGAACTCATGTCTCTTTAGCCTAAAAATAATTTTTAAAATAAAAATTAAAAAGTTATTAAAAATCATCTTACCATGTCTAGACGAACTCCCCCGTGAGGTTGTCGACCCATGGTGTGAAGCATCTTCGTGTTGCCATGCTCGTCTTTGGTCATGCGGTTCCCGGAGTTTGTGTGGGAGGTTTTGACCGAGTCCGGAAACCCCCAATATCTGATGAGGCCATCCCACACGTCGAATGTGAGGCAATCGGGTTTCCCGTCCTCGTAACCATCCACCTGAACAAAAAAATAATTAGAATTAAAGTCAATAAATGATTTAAAACTATATATATATAATTTATAAATCCAGACCTGAAAGTCGCCCTTCCAGTTGTAGACCATGTCGAGCAATCGTGCTCATGCCTTCGCCTCAAACTCCGTCTTCACCCGCTGGTGAATCCTTATAGACCAACGATATTTTTGCTGTAACCAGAAATAATAAGAGACGGATTAGTTTAATAATATTAATAATTTTAAATAATTAAAAATAAATTAATTTGATTAATTAAACTTACAACGAACGATTTGAACCACATCTTTTTTGTGTGCCTCGGCGTCTTCTTCCAGTTTGGAGCTGCATCGGGAAAGTATCCCTTAATACAGTCCATGACGCTCTGAGCGACACATCCGTCAAGACCAAACCTGGAAAGACACAAAATAAAACATTAATTAGATTAATTTGTAAATATTTTATTAGTTAAGAAATAAATTAAAAACACTTTTTAAAAATTAAAACATACCATAATATGTTGTGGCCGTCCCGTCGGATAGGATGTAACTCTGGCAGCCCTTCTCTGCCTGGAAGAGCCATAATATCCTCCACCGTGTACACCGCAAATGGTGTGTTCGGCGGCATCTCAAATCGGGATGAACCCCGACCGGTGGAGGAGGAGGAGGAGGAGGAGGTGGAGGAGGAGGTGGTTGCTCAGACCGGGACGCCGTAGAAACTCCCTGAGTCTCGGGAACAGCGTCAGGATCCAGAATCGGAGATGAACCGGGAGCTGACGAAGATGAACCGGGACCAGACTGACGCCCAAAAAGATCTCCGTAGTGACTCCCCTGAAGAGGCCTCTTAGCCTTATCAATCCTGCTCTGTCAGACCATCTAAATTTTTTTTTTTTTAAAACAAAACATTAATTCCCGTATAATCTAAAAAAACAGTTAAAAAAAGTAAACCAACCTAATCTAAATTACCTAAACTAACCACCTAATCTAAATTCCCTAATCTAATCACCTAACTAGGAAATAGAGAGAACCTTAAGAGAATTCAGAGAGGAGCTTACTACAAATGAGAAATCGGATTGCTCGAGTTTATATAAGGAATTTTATTTCCTCGTAAGGCCCTAGTAACATTACTAGGTCTTTACGAGGAAATAGCTATGCCCGTGTTTTTATTTCCTCGTAAAGTCCTAGTAATACCATTACTAACACTTTACGAGGAAACTGCTTTACGAAGAAATAGCTATGCCCGCGTTTTTTTCCTCGTAAAGTCCTAGTAATGGTATTATTAGGACGTTACGAGGAAACAGCTATGCCCGCGTTTTCTGTTACTAGGGCTTACAAGGAAAGGGTTTGTAAATCCCTAAACTCGAAACCCCAAACCTCAAACCACAACTTCCTTAACTTATAACCTCTTCTACAACCAAGCTCCTAACCTCTTCTACACATAAATCCCAATTCCTTATATATTACAAAAACAAAAATTATCCACATTAATATATATATATATATATATATAAAGAAATAAATTAATCATATCATTGTATTATATTAATTAATTATCTGAAAGTGTTTCATGTACTTTTGCTGGTAGTAGCTCCGCAAACGCAAAGGGAAGTAGTCGCTGCATAAAGACATGACAATCATGGTTCTTCATCCCAGAGAACTTTTGCACTTTCTCAACACATCTTGAGAGATTTGAAACATACCCATCAGGGAACTTCACCTCTGAAGCCACCCAGTTGAACAACACAGACTTTTTTCTGATGACAGTCTGAATATTGGAACTGGAACTTGCCCATTGCTTTTTATATGTAGCTCACTCCTTGAGCAGATATCAGGTAAGTCCAACCTCGATTTTACGTTGTCTTTCGTCTTCCATGG